CTGGTTGAGGGTCTTCCTCTTTTTTGCTTCCTTTTCACCTTTTCAAGCATGCTGTCTTTTTCCAAGGACTGGCCCTTCCTAGTAACATACCCAAAGTACATTGGTGAAATTTCACCACCCTTGCCTCTAAGAAGCATCCTGGTTGCACTTTCTTCAAGACATGTTTGTTCATCCTTTTGACAGTTAATGAGACGTTCAATACTCTTCATTAATACCATAAGTTAAAGGTATCAACTCTTCTTCTTTCATCCTTATTCATTTTCCAACTTTCAGATGCATAGGAAGTAATTGAAGAGATCCTAGATTGGATTGGGTGCATTTTAATCTTTAAACTCACATCATTACTTTTCAGAATTTTGGAGAGGTTCTTGATTGATTTTTCTCAATGCAATATGTCTTTGTCTTTGGATTTCTTGACTGCTAGTACCAAAGGTATTGATTGTGGATCAAGTAAGATCAAATCACTATTTAAATCTTCTCTCTGTCATTATGTTGCCTATTCACCAAGTGTTGAGGATTTTTCTTTTCTTGAGGCTGAGATGTAATCCACTCTGAGTGTCTAAGGTTTATTATTCAAAATGGTCTTTTGAACTGTTATATTCAAGAGAAAGGATTCTATGTCGATGGGAAGGAATTATGTGAACGAGGTGTGTTAGCCTATCCACGAAGTGATTGACTATCTACCATTTCACAAAGGGATTGGCCCGTTTCAACATTGTACAAGAGGATTGGTGAGTCTTGCTATGTAATTGAGAAAGCCAGAAAGAGAGATCGATCTTCTGGCACCATTAAAAAAGAAACAAGACAGTGTAGGACGCACTTGGCTGAACTGGAGACATGATGTGAGATAAGACCTTGGGGGGGGGGGGAGAGCCAATCTTTGCGGGACTGAGAACTTTTTTTGACAAATGGTTGGGGGAGCAATATTGGCAGGACTGAGAACTTGGGAACCACTGGCCTGAAGTCACAAGGCTGAGTCTGAGGTGCCTGCATGCACATTTAGGGAGCTCTCTTGACTAGATTCTGTTATTAACCTGGATTATAGCCTTTGGCTTCTCCACTATGGTTCTGTGTGGTCTGTGAACTATTACATCAGATTTTTTACCCAGTAAAACAGTAAGATTGGAGTTGAGATGAGCAGAAAGAAGTGTGAGAGAGTAGGGGACATGTCTAACCTCATGGGAAATGGCTTTGTTATTGATACTGTGGATGGGGACAGTTCCCCTTTGTGAAGTTGGTAAAGGTCAGATATGTGTCCCATGTGGCCCTTGCTCTTTTTACATCCACAAAAAAGTAATTGTGTTGTTTGCTGTGGTTGTTAGGTGCCATCCAGTTGGCTCCATCTCTAAGTGATCCTATGAACGGCAGACCTGAACTCTGCCCTATCCTTCCATGCTCACCAAGCCACTGTGTCCATCCATCTCGTCATGAATCTTCCTCTCTTTCTCTTCTCCTTCACACTTCCAAGCATGATGTTCTCCCTGGATCCTCCAGGGACTGGCCTCTCCTTGCAAGATGTCCAACATATGCAAGACAGAGTTTCATCATCCTTTTCACTAGGGAGCACCCTGGCTGTACCCTCTCCTCTAAGACATATTTGTTTGTTCTTTTGACAGTCCATTGGATATTTGGTACTCTTCTCCAACTCCATAACTTGAATACATCAATTCTTCTCAATGTCCAGTTTTCAGATGCACTTCAGAAGCAATTGAAAAAAGCATGGCTTGAGTCAGGTGCACCTTATTCTTCAGATTGATATTGCTGCTCTTCAAAACGTTGGAGAGGTGCTTAACCACAAACACCCAGAACACAACAGGTTTTTTCCAGTTCTTTACTGTTGGTGCCAAAGCCATTGATGGCAGATCCTAGCAAGATGGACTCATTAGTCACTTAAACCTTTTCTCCATCTCTTCTTCTTCTATTGTATTGCTCTGTGGCTCTGATGGCCTAATGGGCAGTTGCACTGCCAACCCAAACTCAGGCAGTTTGAATCCACCAAATGTTTTGTAGGATAAAGATGAGCAACCTCTTGCCATGCAATTTACAGCCTCTAAAAAACTGCTAAATGGTCAGCTTGATTGGTTCTCACTTGATTGCAATGAGATTTTAAAAAAAAAGGGGGAGGGCAAGAAAAAACCCGCATAGAAATAAAGAAAATGGTCTAATTGCTATGACAAGACCTAGTATATGGGAAAATCATAAGGATACTACCAAATAAAACTAGTAGATCTAATAAGTTAGCCTCCTAGAAAACCCAAAAAAGCAGTTACCAAATTACCCAGCAATTCTACTTTGATGTATATTCAAAAGAACGTAAAGGAACACAGATACTAGCACACCAGCATTATCTACACTAGCCAAAAGGTGGCATAAAATAAATGCGCAAAAGATGAATGAATAAGCAAAATGAGGCATATAAACACTATAGAATGTTACTTAGTCAAGAAGAGAAAAGTCTTATACAAGCCACAACAAAGGTGAACTTTGAAAACATTGTTGTTGTTGTGTACCATAGAGTCGGAACCGACCCATAGCTGACCCTCCAGCAGGGGTGGCCTCGAACTGTGTGTGCCTTTAGGGTTGCAGCCCAGCTTCTTGCCACTAGGCCAAAAGAACAAATAGTATAAGATCTCCCTTACACAAAATATGTAAAATAGGCAAGTGTAGAGCACATTAATGGTTAGCAGGAGTGAGATGGAGGGAGAGAGGATACAGGTGTGTCTGTTAGGGGTAGTAGAAAAAATTATAAATAAAATGCTGATTGTTCTATAGTATAATGAAGAAAATGAATGTCACTGAACTATACATAAATATTGAAATGACAACAAAATGTATATATACACATTCCCACTATATTAACATAAATTCACATTAATAACTGCTTCTGTGGGATCCAAGTTTTCAAAGTGTAAAATTCCAAAAGAAAGTGTCTATTTAAGGTATATCAGTGCTTACATGGAGCGCTGTAGCAATCACTTCTCCACCATCGGGACCAATGTCATTAAACATAAGGTTTAAGTAAATGAGATTAAGTTGTTTCTAGAATAAGAAGAGATGTTATTTTATGTTACATAAAAAAAGTCAAGCAATAATGTATATTTCAGAGCTACTTTAAGCAAACATCTTTACTTTCCAATGAAAATGTTCTTTAAAACCCAGGAAAAGTGAAGCAAAACCAACTGTTATTAGATGCTGTTGACTCAGTTCCAACTCATTGTACCCTATGTACAAGAAGACAGACACGGCCTGTGTCAGAGTCGTAACTGTTCTATGCTTGAGCCCATTATCACAGCCACCGGGTCAAGCCACCTTGTTGAGAGTCTTTTTCTACTTTCTGCTCTTCCAACGTCTGGTCCCTCCTGACAATATGTCCAATGTACATGTGATAAAAGTCTCGCCATCACTGTTTCCAAGGAGCAGCCTGGCTGCTACTTCCTCCAAGACAGATAGATTTTTATTCAGACAGCCCATGGCTTCTTCGATGGCATCCCCTAGCATCACAATTCACTGGCTTCATAAATCAATTATCCTTCACTGTCCAGGTCTCTTATGCATAATGAAATGATAAAAAAATAACATGAGTCAGGCAAACTTTATTCATCAAACCAGCATCTTTAAGAAAAACAAAACAAAATCTTCCAAGAAGTCTTTTGAAGCAAATTTTTCCCAATGCAATAAATACATAATTTGATTTCTTAACTTCTGCTTTCATGAGCATTGATTGTGAGCCCAAGTGAAATAAAATCATTAACAACTTTAATATTTTTCTACATGATGCTCAGGAACCCTGGTAGCATAGTGGTTCAATGTTTAGCTGCTAACCAAAAGATCAGCAGTTCAAACTCTGCAAGAGAGAAATGTATGGCAGTCTGCTTCCATAAAGACTTACAGTCTTGGCTTCATTAGCAGCCATGGATCTGTTCAAGTCTATTAACTAGGTACAGGTCTTAAAAAGTTCTTAGCGAGGCCTGGACTGTTCTCGTGTCTGGAGCACTAGATCAAGGCCCCACTGCCTGGAGACCCCTGGACTCTCTGCCTGGAGGCCTCAGCCCCTCTGACTGGAGGTCTTGGCCCCTCCACTTAGTGGTCCCATCCCCTCCATCTAGTAGTCCTGGCTCCACCACCTAGACCTCTGAAACCACCACCTGGAGGACATGGCCCTGCCACCTGAAGACTCCCACCAGTTGCCTGGATGCCCCAGTCCTACTGCCTGGACACCCTGCCAATGGGACACTCCTGCCCACAACCTGGAAGCCCATCCCCACTGCATAGAGAACCTGGCCCTGCCACCTGGACACCCTGCCACCTGGAGGACAACCTGCAGCCACTCCTCTGAATTGCACCAGGGACAGTAATATCACAGGTGATCCCATTTCCTCTCCCCTCCCAGAGGTTGAGATGTCTTTAGCCCTGGGCACCTTGGACTCACCTAGCCTAGCTATAGCAGATGCCTGATAGAGAAGGCTGCTAACTCACAGGTCATATCTCTCTCCAACTGAAGCAAGTCTTCATTTGAGTCAAAAATTCAGAGAGAAACACAGGCAGGGTAGCTGCCGCTCTCCACGGGAGCAATGACTTCCTGAACCAAGGTTTTCAAACCAAGAGCCTGCTAAGTTCTCAGAAATAAAAAAATCCTACCACAGCAATGTCATGGAAGAAGCAGGCTACCTCACACCCTACACAAACCCAAAACGAGATATCACCCCCCAAAAGCGACATAGTATCAATGGATTTCGTGAAGCCAGAAAGTCTAATGAAACTTCCTGACACAGACAGACAAACTCAAAGAGTTGCAGGACTCTGCAAGCAAAAACCAAAAGAAACTTAAGAAAACAATCCAAGACAATACAGATAAAACAAGTGAGGCACTAGAGGCTCTGGGAAAACAAGAAACCACAATCCAAAATATGAGGACCAATGTTTCAGATTCTGTCAACATGTTGCAGGGACATATGAACAGAGTTGAAGGATGGAACACAGAACCAGTGAAATAGAAGATAGAGTTGTCACCACTGGTCTGCTAGAACAAAAAGCAGAATCAGAATGGAAGGAAAAAGAAGAAAGCCTAAAAATAAGGTGGGACACCATCAAGAGGAATACCATGTGATTAATTGGAATCCCAGAACAGGAAGAAGCAAATAAACGCACCAAGAAAGTTATTAAAGAATTACTAGAAGAAAACTTTTCAGGCATAATGAAGAACAAGAGAATATATATTCAAGAAGCTAAGCAAACACCATGCAGAATAGACCCCAAAAGAAAAACACCAAAGCATATCATTGTCAAATTTGCCTGAAAAAAAAAAGATAAGGGGAGAATTCTGAAAGCAGTTAGGGGGAAACAAAGTGTAACCTATAAGGGAGAGCGAATAAGATTAAGTGACAATTTCTCAGCAGAAACCATGCAAGCAGTAAGACAGTGGAATGACATATATCGAACACTTAAAGAATGCAATTGTCAACCAAGAATAAAACTGTCCATCAAATATGAAAAAAAGAAAAGCAGAACCTAAGGGACTTTGTAAAAATGAGACCAGCATTGCAGGAAACACTGAAAGATGTCCTTCTTACAGAGGGGCCACAGAAAGCAGAATGGATCTAAGTAACCAGCAACAACACCAAAAAGAACTCAACAAAATGATAGCAATAAAGTCTTGCCTCTCAATAATTGCAACTGGATGTGAATGGCTTAAATGCACCACTGAAGAGAAAAAGAGTAGCAGATTGGATAAAAACTCAAAACCTATCAATATGCTGTCTACAAGAAACACACCTGAAAAGTGAAGATAAAGAAGGCTAAAAGTAAAAGCGTGGGGGGAAAAAAATCTACCAAACAAATGGCAACCCAAAAAAAGCAGGAGCAGTGATAGTAATCTCATAAAATAGATTATTTAAATGCAAAAACCATCACAAAGGACAAAGAAGGTCACTACATAATGCTTAAAGGGTCAATAGGATAAGAGGACATAACAATAATAAATATCCATGCACCAAATGATAGACCTGCAAAATATACAAAGCAAACATTAACAAAATGGAAAAAAGAAACAGATGGCACCATTATAATAGCAGGAGAATTCAATACACCACTGTCAAGAAAAAACAGAACTACCAGAAAGAAATTCAAGAAAGATGCTGAAGAATTAAATCACACAGTAAATTAACTTGATCTCACAGATTAATGATCTCACAGGTTAATGCACCCCCCAAAAGTGCAGTATACCTTCTTCTTCAATGTGCATAGAATTTTCTCCAAAATAGATCACATTTTAGGTCAAAAGACAAGCATCAATAAGTTTAAAAATACAAAAGCATCTTCTCAGACCAAATGCTACAAAATTAGAAATTAATAAAAAGAGGATAATGGAGGGGGGAAAAAACCCATACATTTGGAAGCTGAATACCACCTTGCTTGAACATGAGTGGGTAATAGAAGAAATAAAAAATAAAATTAAAAAGTTTCTTGAAACAAATGACAATGAAAACAAAGTTTCTTAAAATCTCTGGGCAACACTCAAAGCAGTAACCAGAGGTCAATTTATAGCAATAAGCAAACACATCAAAAGACAAGAAAAAATTTATAATTGACTCTCTTACCCAACAAATTGAAAAAGAACAAAATGTTTGATTTCTATTTGTGCTACTAGACTAAGTGGCTTAATTCTAGACAAAAGAATTAAGAAGAAGAATCATACCTCAAGCAGTTTTGCAGCATAGTACGCACCAGTATTGTTTAAGAGGTTATATCTAACATCCAAACCTGGAGAATAGATGAGACTAGAGGTTGATATGTTCCTTATGAAAATGAAATGTCATGTCAAAGGAACTAGTACACAGTGTTTCGTAAGAGACAAACCATTAATGTATGGATTCTTCTTTAAAATTTTGGAAAGAATCCAAAAATCTTCACTTGTTATTTTTTCTACAGGAATTAGGCGATTATTACCAGCAATAGTTAATGTGATTTCTTTATTCAGGCTGTTTTGTAAAAGAGAGAGAGAAAAAAAAATTCAATTAAGAAATAGCTGTGATTTTTTTTTATTTGTATACAGTAACATCATAAATAGCACTTATTAGAATTAAGTATGCACTCCAATGTGGTACATACCAGACATAAAATACCAGATAACTTAAATAGACTTTGCAAAACACTCTAATATATACTATAGCACTTAATTTCTCACAAAGAAGAAAGCAACAACAAGGTATCTTCACACTCTTAATAGACACCGAAGTATTAAAGGATCTGATGATGATGTTATCTATTATCATAGCTGACCCACTAGCAACTTTTCAGAGGCTGTAAATCACACGGGAAGAGACTGTCCATCTTTTCCACATGGAGCAGTTGGTGGATTCGAACCACCTGCCCTTGCGTGGGCAGTGCAACTTCATACCCACCAGGACACCTGCCCACATTCAGCCAGCTCAGAGGAGTTAAGGGTCATTCTGAAGCCTAGGCTTGAGGAGTCCTGTGGCAGCGTGTTACTCTGCCTCTAAGTGCAAAGGGTCGGAGAAAAAGGAGAAAGATTCTAAACGAGACGGAGCGGAAGACAACGGGCTCCTTCATAGCCCCGTGAGGATGAAACAGGACTTGGCAGTGGTTCATTTGATTGTCCCAAGGACTGCTACGAGTCACAGCCACTCCAAAGCCCCTAACAACAACAAAAACAACAACAGCTGTACAACCTACCAACAGTGTCACTCACCCACTTGATTTTGCTAAATCAAAGATGCCCATTTAACTAAGCATCTTTTAAATGACTAGAAATCCCTCCTATTTTAGAATTTTCACATAAACGATTATCAGCAAATGCTGTGGACTTCTTTGTTATCCTTACCCTTTTTTACATTCTTCATCCACTTCCTGGAGTATACACACTATAAAAGGATTGATTCTTTGAACTTTTTCCAAACACAGATTACAATAATTTTCCTGGAGGCTGGGAATAGATGGTTTAGCTTTGGGAAGAGAAATGCATTAGTTTTCATC